TTGTGTTGTACATTCTGTGAGTCCTGACACAGGCGTGACGGGTCTGCCATCCCTGAATGCTACAGAATATTTTGCTGTCCTAAAAACCCCCTGCGCTCTGCCTATCCCTCCCCACTCCCTCCCGCCCTGGCCACCACTGATCTCCTTACTGCCTCCGCAGTTTTGCCTTTTCCAGTGTCCTACTGGAATCCTACAGTATGTAGCTGGAATATCAGTAGAAAAAAAACACGGTTCTTGAGTGTAGGGGAAAACCCAGCTCTGCCCCACTGTGGGTTTTAATCCTGTTACTGCTCACAACTCACCCACTTCGGGCCGGTGAATATGTGGGGGTTTCCCCTCACCGGGCCCTTGTCTGTGCCGCCAGCTGGGTGTCCTGCACTTCGGCTTAATTCTGTCACTATCTGCCTGGACGCCGAGTCCGGTCCCACAGGTCAGGGGCCCAGGGCCACGAGATTTCCCCAACACACACTGCAGATGGCTGTCAGAACCACCTGTGCTTCCGACCAACTGGCTGGAGATGGGAGGTTCGCGCAGCCCCCTCCTCGGGTTTGACTAATCTGCTGGAGTGGCTCACAGAACATGGGAACGCTGACTTCTGTTTACCAGCTTATTAAAGGGTATGGTGAAGGAGAGAGATGAACAGCCAGATGGAGAGGGACATCAGGGCAGGTCTGGGAGGGTCCCAAATGTAGGAGTGTGTGTCCCCACGGAGAGGGCTGAGTCACCCCCCTGCTGTGGATGTGGTCACCAGCCCGGCCGCTGTCTGAACTAATGCACTGCCGGGGTATCCTGGAGGCTCCCTCATGCAGGCACAGTCAATTATTAACTCCGTTTGCTGACCTTCTGCCCTCTCTGGAGGGCGGGGGTGGGGCTGAAACTTCCAAGCTTCTAATCTTGGCTTGGACTTTGTGGGGACCAGCCCCCATCCAGGGCTCACCGAGAGTCACCTCATTAGAACAAGAGATGCTCCCAGTGCTCTGCTCCGACCACTCGAGAATGCACAAGGGCCTCAGGGACCCCGTGCCAGGAACCGGGGGCGGGGCCGGCGGAAGTTTTCTGTTATCTCACAGTGGCCCCGTCAGATAGGCACCTTCCACCTAGGAATATGCTTTTAGGGTTCCTGCATGTCTTTTCGTGACTGGGTAACTCATTTTCTTTTTAATCCTCACCTTGAGGATGTGTTTATTGATTTTAGAGAGAGGAAGGGAGAGAGAGAGAAATGTTGATGTGAGAGGAATATCCATTGGTTGCCTCCTGTCAATGCACCCCCAACCTAGGCATGCATGCCTTGACAGGGAATTGAACCTGCAACCTTTTTGGTGCACTGGATGATGCTCCAACCAAACCAGGTGGTTTGCAAGGGTGTGGTAACTGTTTTGGGGGGGTTTTTTTGGTCCTCGCCCCAGCACATGCTTATTGATTTTTTCCTAAAGATAAGAGGTGGGAGTGAGAGGGAGAGAAACATTGATCAGTTGCCTTTCGGTTTATGGGACAACACTCCAACCAACTGAGCCCCACCAGCCAGGGCTCGGTGATTTGTTTCTAATCAGTGAGTAACATCCCATGGCCCGGATTCATGTTTTTATTTTTGTTTTTTTAACCAAAAATAATGAATGTGTGAGAGATCCATCAATCTGCTTCCTCTTACATGCCCCAAACTGGGAACCTGACCCACAGCCCAGGCATGCGCCCTGACTGGGGCTCGAACCAACAACCTTTTGGTTTGCAGGCTGATAATCCATTGAGCTACACCAGCCAGGGCAGGAGTAGGTTTATTAGGCCAAAGGGTGTTTGTAATTCTGTGCCCTCTCTCCGAGTGTGTACCTCTATACTGTTTGAGTATTTGGGAAAATGTATTTATGTATTAGCTGTATATTAAAACAAAAGCAAGTATAAAAATTACTCTATTTTGGGGAAGTAGCCAAAGGTCGTGTTAAGAGCCTGGGTGGGTGAGACAGACTCACTGAGGGAGCTGTCTGTCCTCGCCAGCTGTTTCTTGTTTTTTTTTTTTGTTGTTTGTTAAAGATTTTATTTATTTATGAGAGGGGAAGGGAGGGAGAAATTGCCTCTCCTATACCCCCAGCTAGGGACCTGGCCTGCATCTCCGGTATGGGCCCTAAACTAGAATTGAACCGGTAATTCTTGGCTTTGAAGTCTGGTGCCCAATCCACTGAACCAGGTGAGCCAGGGCCGTTTCTAGTGCCTCTGAAACAGTTAATTACATGTCAAACAAAGCACCCACTGTGAAAATTAATGGTGATTGTTAAGTCATGTCTGTTGCTATAAAAGATTCAGCTGTTAGCACCTGGGGCTTTCCTTGCGAAGGTGGGCTTTATGTAAACGCTTTCAGAAGCTGCCTTCCTTGGTGGCGGGAAGCTGGATGCCCAGGAGGCTGTCTTCCTGCGGCTGGGAAAACAGACGGCAGTTCGGGTCTCCCTCTCTCTCGAGCATGGTGCACAGGCTGCCAGTGCTGACCTCCCTTCCAGAATAGCCAATAGTTCTTAGACAGGCTTCGAAGTGCCAGGTGCTTACAGTGTTGACTCATTTACTGGTATTTGTCACAGTTCTGCCATCCGCCCCACTTTACAGGTGAGAAACTGAAGCCCAGAGAGATTAAAATCACTGGCCCAGGGTCACTCGGGTGAGAAGTGGGCCCCGAACCCAACTGGCCAGGGTCCCAAGCTCTGGCCTTTAGCCAGAAAAGACAGGTGAAGATACACCCAGTAGGGTTTGCTACCCCAGGGGCATTTAGAGGAAGCCACGAATGTTCAGTTTTCTACATATTAGACTTTGGAATTTTTAGCGTCAGCAATTACTACTACCCTAAAGAATGCATCTACAGCATGACCCCTCCTTGCCTTGGCTGACCCAATGTCCTCGGACCGTAGCCCTGAGGAGGCCGGACGGTACCTGGAGACCTACAAGGCCTATGAGCAGAAGCCGGCGGACCTCCTGATGGAGAAGCTGGACCAGGACTTCGTCTCCCGGGTGAGGGCACGTCCCCACCCTGCCCGGGCCTCCCCCCAGCTTCTTCCTGGGTGTTTGAGCTCCAGTTCTGATCTCAAGTCAGGCCTCTCCTCCCCACACCCACTTTCAGCTTCCAGCCTCCCCTCTCGTACAGCAGCCAAAGGGATCTTCCTAAGCACAAACCTGACCCCGCTCCAAAGCCTCCCGTGGCTCCCCAGTGCCCTCAGGGAAAGCCTGGCCTCACCATGCTCTGCCAGGCACTGCCAGCCCGGCTGGCAGCCCTGTCCGCCCCCAGCCCTCCTCCCAGGCCCAGCTCGCATCTCTAAGTGTGTGTCTGTGCTGTTCCCTCTGCTGTCTGCCTGATCCCGTCTTTCTTTTTTTAAAGATTTTATTTATTTTTAGAGAGAGGGGAGGGAGAGAAAGAGGAAGAGAAACATCGATGTGTAAGAAACACATCAATCAGTAGCCCCTCACACACCCTGAACCAGGGACCTGGCTGGAAACCCAGGCCTGTGCCCTGACCAGGAATCAAACCAGCAGCCGTTCACTTTGCAGGATGACGCCCTACCCACCAATCCACACCAGTCAGGGCTGCCAGATCCCCTTGTACACACCTGAGCTCTGATGCTCCCTCCTCCAGGAAGCCCTCCCTGATCCCCAGGCCAGGCTAAGTGCCCCCACCGGACTTCCCCATGCCTACCCACCTGGGTCACCACTGTCTGGAACTACCTGGCCTCCCACTCTGTGCTGGGTGCCCCAGAAGGGCAGAGCTGGGGCTGTCTTGGTCCCTGCTGTGTCCCCAAGCACCATAGCACTCAGGGAATATTTGCAGTGAATTGTTGAATCCAGGCTCCAATACTGGAGTAATGGTAGGTGCCTGCAGCTGCCCCTGAGGTGGGTACTACGAGCACCCCCGAGTGCCGGAAAATGGAGGCCCGGACAGGTCAGTCCCTGTGCCCAGCATGGCATAGGGAGTAGGCAGTGGAGTCTGGGTTTGAACTCGACTCTGACTTCAGAGCCTACGGTCTCCCCCGGGCTGAGCCAGCTTGGGATAAGTGGCATCCATCCTCTCGCCACGTGACCAACCCTCTCAGCTGCTTGGGGGTCACTCTGAGATGACCTTTTCATCAGTCCAAAAAGGCACTTATGGAGCACCTCCTGCATGCAAGGCAGCCTGGGGACACAGCTGTGACTCAGCGCCACCCCCAGGGGCTTGGTCATACTCTCCTCCCGACACACCGCTGCCTCTTCCCCCTTCTAGGTGACTGACTGTCTGACCACCGTGAAGTCAGTCAACAAAACGGACAGTCAGACCCTCCTGACTACTTTCGGGGTAAGGAAGGGTTCCCGTGTCATCTCTACCCTGACGCCTTTTCCAGGAAGCCCCTGACCCTTTCTTTCCCTTCCACACTCTACTCCCCGCCCCCCCCGCCCTCCCACCCGACTTCACCTCCTGTCTGGAGTGTGTCCGGCCCCACATGCGCCGGGGCTGGTGCTCATCTCCCCTGACCTTTGGCTCCTACCTTTCTTAGTCTCTGGAACAGCTCATAGCTGCATCGCGGGAAGATCTGGCCTTGTGTCCGGGCCTGGGGCCTCAGAAGGTAAGAGCTCTGGGAGTGAGTTTAGGGGTCAGGGTCAGGAGGGGGTCCCCAAATCCCAAAGTTCTAAGGTTTCAGAAGTCCCATGGTGCTTGCCCTACAGATGGAGGAAACCAAATCTCAGAGGGGCTGTGGGGTGGAGTGGGGGGCAGCCCGACCTCACACGGCCAGGCTGGGAGGAAAAGAACCAAAGCCCACTCGGGATGCACCAAACAGATGCTCATTTAATGACCGGTTCCTTCCCTTCTTTCCCCCGCCCAGGCCCGCAGGCTGTTCGATGTCCTACACGAGCCCTTCTTGAAAGTACCCTGATGACCTCCACTGCCAAGGAGGCCCCATGTGTCACAATAAAGTGTTTCCCCGGTCCGGGCTCCTGTTGCTGTGCTGGTACAACCCCCCAGGCGGTGTTCTCTGCTCTGTCTTCTGATGGCCCCGCGGCCACCTCAGCCTTTCCCTGCAGTCGTCAGCTTCCCCGGAGGAGACTACGCAGGATCCTGCTGCGGCTTCTTCTTCCGCTTCTTCTCCCGTCCCGGGGGAGCCACCTCTCCAGACTCCAGGTTCAGTGGCGGCTCTGGCCTCTCCTCCTGGGACGCTGTGGCTGGCACCCCGCTTTCTGGGTGCCGCTTCTTCCACTTCTTGGTGGATGCTGGATCCACCCTGACCTCAGGCTCCATCACCTCGCCCCGTGGGTCAGCCGTCTCAGGCCCTGGCTCTGTCGCTCTGTGCTCTCTTTCTTTCTTCTTCTTGGTGGATGCCAGCGCAGCCTGAGGCTCAAGGTCACTTGGCAGCTCGGGCTCCACCACCTGTGTCTTTGGTTCCATCACTGCGTTTTGCCATTTTTCTTTCTTCCTCTTCTTTTGGGTGGGTGCCAGAGCTGCCTCGGCCTGTGGCTCAATCTCATGTGCCAGTTCAGGCTCCATCACCTCCCCTGGAACCCCCAGAAGCCTCACATCTGGCTCGAGAGCCTCAGTCCCCAGCTCCATCAGCGCTTTGCACTCCTTTCCTTTTTTCTTCTTTCTTTTTGGGGACGGCAGTGGGATGGCTTCCTCCTGAGGCTCCTCCTTCACCTGGAGCTGAGACTCAGCTCCCATCTCCTCCGCCGGCTCCATCCCTTCTGTCTCCATCTGTCTCTTCCTCTTCTTGGTGGGGGATAGGACTGCCTGTTGCAGAGGCTCAGTTTTAACTGTGAGTTCCAGCTCCACAGTCTTCTCTTCCTCTGGCTCCAGCATCACTGTTTCCGTCTCTTTAGGCTTCTTCTTCTTCTTCTTGCTGGCAGACGGGAACAGCATGCCCAGGGGTTCCAGCATCTCAGCCGTGGGCTCTGTTGCCACCGGCATCATCACCTCCAGTTCATTCGGCGGCGGCTGCTTTTTCTTCTTCCCCTTCTTCCCCACATCCATCTCCGAGGACCCCCAGGCTGTGTCCACCTCCAGGGTCCCATGCCCATTCACTGCCTCCTGGGGAGAGGAGGCCTCAGGCACGTGCTTCTTCTTTTTCCTCCTCCCTGAGGCTGGAGACCTCAGTGCCAAGGCTGACACAGGCCCTGTGACTGGTGGGCTGCCTCCAAAGGCACAGAACCGAGGCCTCAGGCCAGGGGGGATCTGTGGTGGAGGGCTTGTGGGAATGGGGTGCAGTGGAGTTCCTGATAAGGATGGGTGGGAACCCTCTAAGATCCTTAGGTGGCCCCTGGGGGCGGGGGTACAGGTGAGCCTGCCTCCTGCCTCTGCTGAGGGGACCAGCAGGGTTGCTTCTCCAGCTTGGGGGCCGCTGCTGCTGAGGACCCGGTAGCGGTGCCGCTTCCCTGCCACCTTGCCTTTCACAACCTGGGAGCCAGAGAGAGGCACCAGCCGCCCATTGAGGCTGCAAGGAGAAAGGGGAAAGGCAGAAGCTTGGTCAGATTCTGTTGGTGGCGCAGGGGAAAGGAGCTGAGAAGCAGCTTCTCCACATTCCTTAGGATAAGCCCCTCTACATTTCCCCCAAGTTCAGCTACTGGAGTGGGGAGTGTTCCGGGGAAGTGGCATGGGACCAACCACTCACCAGTCCGGGGTGAAGTCTACAGGGGCCTGGATCAGCCACAGTTCCGTGTCTGGGCCCGTCAGCGTCTCCAAGGAGAAACGAGTGGACTCCGAGGCCGGGGGCATCGCAGTAAAGTTGGGGGGACAAGAGAACCGAGCAATACCTGTAGAAAGGGAAAGGGGGGTGTACTGGCACGTTTCCTGGCAGTCGGATCCTGGGCGCCTATTGGTCCATTGGGCCCAACCCCTTGGAGCGCCTCACCTGGTCTTCCTCCTCCGACGGTCTGTTCCCCGGAGACCACCCCCCCCCCCCAGCGCCCATCTCCACTGATCCAACCCCTAGGGGAGCCTTCTCTCCACTGGCAGTCCCCCCAAGATATCCTCTCTCTGCCCGAACTCCCTCCACTTTCCTCCTCCCACAGGGCATGCTTTTCACAGGTCCTGTTTCCGGAAATGCCCCCTTTTCCGTCTGGCCTCCCCTTTCTCCTCCCGCCACCTAGCCCTCTGCACCCCGTCGGCCCTCTCTGAAGCAGCTCACCGCCGGACGGGGCCCCTGCCATGCCGGTACCCACGACTCGCACAATACCCTCAGCCAGAGCAGCTCTGAGCCCGCCGCTGCCGACCACGTGGAACCAAAGGGGTGGTGACTCGCCCGGGAGCGCCGACGGAGCCCGCGAGCGCGGGGGGAGTCGCTCGCAGCTCGTGCACTCTGAGAGCAGAACCAGGGGAAATTTTCCTTTGTGCGGAGCAGACAACCGAGGAAGACGTCTTTTCCTGTAAATCTGCTCGCTAGAGCAGCTGATTCGATGTCTAGACGGAGGTAGAGCCCCACCTGGTCCCGGCGGGAATCTCCCTTAGTCTCGCAGACATTATTTGCGCCAACGTCGCCTTAAAGGGGCAGTCACACTGATAGGACCTAACTCTTAAAGAGACAGGAAGGTCGATTGGTCTGAAATTCTTAAAGAGATAGGTAAGAGTCTTGGTTGGCAGGGCTGTGCTTTCTGAATTACAGTCCCTTCTAGGGAGGCCCAGATGCCTCGGAAGTTAAGATCTCGAGTGGGAGGAGTGGGGAAATGGAGGAAAGGGGTCTTTTCTCCGGAGGGCTGGAATTATCATCCAGGGGCGGGGCGTCTGGATTTGGGGGAGCGGGAAACATAGGGGGCGGGGCCTGTCGGTCTCTGGGCGGAGCCTCCAGACTCGAGCCAGTCCGGAGTAGGGCGGTGCAGGCTGAAGGGTAGGACTTGGGGGTCCAGCGAGAGGGGTAGATGTCCCGGAGGATTTAGTCACGTGCGGAGGGCACATTCCCGAAGGCCTTGAAGAAGGGAGAGGGAGTAGATCAGAGCCCCTTCCGGCATCCGGGGCGCGTGTAAACAGCTACACGTGGGCCCAGATTTGGGGGACGCGTCCACGCCCCTTCCAACAGTTACAGCATCGAGTGGGGCAGCGGGCGGAGCCGGGAGACAGCGGCTAGACAGGGTGACCCAACTGCATTCCTAGCCAGTGTGTCAGCGCCGCTTCCCGCCCCCTCTGCCGAGATTTCGGATCCTACTCCTGAATTGGGGTACCCTCCTTTTCAAAGACAGCAGCTTCCCAGAGCGGAGGGAGGGTCATCGTGGGATCGCGGGACAGTTCCCGTGCGTGGGCGAAACACAGGGACTTCGCCCCTGCGGGCTCCCGGACTACAATTCCCAGAGGACGCGAGGAACAGAGGTGCCAGACCTACGTCCTGACGCTGCTAGGAATTGTAGTCCCAGCCTTGGGCGCCGTTGCTGGGAAATACCGTCAAGATCCAACCCACCCTTTTTACCGACTGGGAGACTGAGGCTCAGACCGGAGGGGGTACTGATTTAGCGAGGCTCTCTTCTCTTTCTAGGGGCGTGGCCTGTGAGTCTCCCCCCACCAGCCTCTAACCTTCTACGCCTTTGGTGGTGTGCAAATCTTCATAAAAGAAGGGGGAAAGTGAGCCGGGAGGGATGGACAGGGACTCAGGAGTTCGTCACCCGCAGCCGCAGAGAAGTAGAAGGCGGGGACTCTATTTCCGTGGCCAGGTCGCCCTAGGCTTCTGGGCTTCGCCCTTCCTGCCTGTGAAATGGACTTCACATGACTGCTGATGGGAATGGCTCAGTCTGCGCGCTACTCCTCCGGGACTACAAGTCCCAAGGTGCTGGAGGCGACCCCGGCTCCCCCGCCCCTCCGGGACCCGCCTCCCTTCAGCCGGAGTCACGTTGTCTAACCTGTTCCCGGAGCCTGCCCCGCCCCGTCCTCGGCTCCCCGCCACCCGAGTCGGAGCCGGAGCTGGAGGAACCCCCCTGGTGCCAGGATCTGCCCCGGATCCGTGAGTTTCACCTCCCTGGGGTCCAGCGGCTCCAGGAGAGCAGACACCCGAGTCTCTGGAAGGACTGGGAGGGGACTCGGACGCAGGGTCCCAGAGCGGAATTAGGGGCGCGCAGACGCCAGGGTGCGTGGAAAGAGAACTCGGTTACCTGATGTACTGAGCAGAAGGAAAGGGAGCCTAGATGCTTGCGTTCTTGGAATAGAGGGTCCGACGCCGTGGTCCTGGAGTGTGTTAGGGCTGGGACTCCTGAGCTCCTCGAATTGGGGGCTCTCGGAACCCTGAGTTCTTGACCAGAATTGAGGTACAAGATGCCTGAGTCTTGGACAGAAATGGGAGGCTCAGATGGCTGGGGCTCTGGAACTGGGCGGCCATCCCTACTGCCCTCCTGTTCTCCCCTGAGCCTGTAGGTTTGCGAGAAGAATTAGGGGTGGGGTGGGGATAGTGGGACCCGGGTCGCTGAAATGGAGCAAGACAAATACCACCCTCTGCAGACTGTGTCCTTGCCTCCTCCCACCCTTTCCGGCTCTGGGATGGGATGGGGGCTGGCGGGGGGAGAACAGGGGCAGCTCTACTACCCCTTCTGTGCCGCTGGGTGATTCCCAACATGTCATTAACCGAGGCGTCAGACCTGCCTAACCAGAGAAGGGACCTCCGCCCCAGAGCGCCCCCTGGCACGGGCGTGGTGCTGCCGATTGCCCCATGGAGGTGGGAGACAGCTGGGGTTTGCAGAGGGCAGGCGTTCCAGATAGAACCGAGGGCAGAATTCCAGAAGGTGGGGTTGGATTCTGGGAGGCTTGCACAGCTGGCCAGTACACAGTCCTTACACAGAGAGGATGGGAGTAAATCGAGGCTTAGAGGTCAGAGTTGAGGGGGCGTGAAGGTTTGGGTCCCTCTCCCTCCTCAGCTCTCTGGGGTGCAGAATTCCATCCATTCCCACCAGATTTCTGACTAACCTTCCTCATAGGGGTTCCTTGCCCTGACCCTGAGGTGAGAAATGTCACCTCCACCCCCAGCTCTCTGACCTGAGGTAGCGTGGGAGATAAGGGAGGGATAGAGGCTAATTCTGGAGGCGTGTGTCTGTCCTTGAAGCAAGCGGAGGGCAGGGCCCGGCACCTCCCTCTGTCTGTCTTCCCTTTCTCTCCACCCCCTGTGTCGAGTGAAGGGATTAAACCAGGGGTGGGGGGAGGCCGGGATCTCTGAAGAGAGCAGTAAGAACTTCCTAAAAGTCTGGGCTTGATGGGCATTCGGCGATAGCCTGTGATGACATTAACAATAATAACCACCGCTGCCAAGACAGCTCACACACGCCAGGCCCAGGCCCAGGGCGGCTGGGGAGACCGGATGGTTCCCATTGTCCCGGGCAACCATTTAGGGCTGTCAATTCCAATGTGGTTTGCTGGCCCCCACCTCAGGGAATGACTTCTCCCTACTCTGGTGGGGAAACTGAGGCTGGAAAGCAGACACAGCCCACACCCTGGGCTTTTGCCACTTTCTGTCTGGAACCTTCCAGGGTTCCTCATGTCCCCGTCCTTACATTGTTGTGGATGACCCCTGGCAGGGACTCAGGAATGTACGTGGAGCGCTTAGGGCTCAGGAAGCCAAGACTCCAGAGATCAAAAGGCAGGGCCTCTAGAATCTCAGAAAGAGTTGAAAGAGCCCTTTTTTTAGGGGGGGAATAGTACTTCAGGTATTAAGCCCTCACTCTTAATACCAGCACAGGAAGGCTGTAATGAAGAACCCTGTGTGTGTGAACTTCATTTGGTGCCCTGCACCATTCTAAAATAATCACTGTACCTAAATGACATTACTCAAATCTCACACCCATTTGAGGTGAAGGTATTAAACCCCCCATTATACATATGAGGAAACTGAGGCACAGAGGCTTAGAGAGGGGACATCCTAGCCATTCCACAACTGTCTGCAGAGAGGGAAACCAAGTCCCAGAGAGAGAGTGGGGACACTCCCAGCGTCCGTCTGTCCGCACAGAGCTGTAGGATTACAGCCTGGCACTCTGACCTGGTTTCTGCTGAGGATGATTCCTCCAGGAAGTGCCCACTCCCTCCTGTCCGGATTCTTAACCCAAAGAACCTGCCTAGGGTGCAGAGAAGGCCTGGAAAAGAGAGCTAGGGGCGGATGGGAGGGGCGAAGCGGAAGCTGTGCCGGGGGGGGGGCGGGGGGGGGTTGGAGAGGACCTGGAGGTGGAGGGCAAGGGCCTGGGAGCCCAGGCACCACCAGCGCCGCCCTCACGCCCCGCCCGACCCCTGCTCCCCTGCCGCGGGAGGTTTCGCACCTGCCCGGACCCGCAGCGCATTCCCGGGGTCTGAGCTCAGGAGCTGTCCGCCCGCTGGGCTGGGGGTCGGGCCGTCACCCGGAGCGCCCCCTGGCGGCCCCGACTGTCCCTCGGTCCGCACCAGCGGCGGGTCGGGCCCCACGCCCAGCCTAGGCATTTCCTCCGAGCCAGAGGATGTCAGCGTGGGACCTGAGAGTCTTAGAAATCTGGAAATCAGGACATCCCGAAAAGAACCGCTTGCTGCCTTCAGTGCTGGCATCGGGGGGCTGCATTGAATTGATCCGTTTTCATATTTTACCAAACACTTATAGAATGTTTCCTGTCTCTCTGAGACTCTAAAAGACCAGAGTTTTGACTTCCGTAGTCTCTGCCGTCTGAGGCGTTAATTCCTTTTGGCACCTTCTGGCCGGTTGGGTCCTCACCACGGTTCTCGGGGGTAGACTGCTGTTCCTCCTCATTTTACAGATCAGGAGACTGAGCCAGTCTCGTCAGGGTGGGGCAGTGAGACCACCAGCTTAGGACCCTGGAAGCCTGGCTCCTGCCTTCTGCTCTTGGCCACTGCGCCACACCACACAGCCCCCCAGACTTGGAGGACAGTAGGGTCCTCGGACAGAGTGAACATGGTGCAGGAGGATGGGCAACCCAGGCTAGCCAAATTGGAGAATTCTAGAATGTTCCAAAGATAGAATCTTGGACTCAGAACTTTCCAACAGTAGACTTTCAAGCTGAAGGTTTTTGGTTCTGTGGAACAATCTCAAGGTCCTTACTGTGTTAGAATCTAGGCTGCTGAGAGATTGACGAGGCCTCTCAGAACAGCTGATTTACCTCCTCCCTTCACTACTCGGGAAACCGAGGCCCGGGAAGGAAAGGGGACATGTTGCCCAAGGTTATACACTCCCAACACACCCAAACAAGCCACCAGCTCCAACAGGTTCTGTTCTGAGGCTTCTCAGACAGAAGCCGGGATCGGCATGCCCCAGCCTGCCCTGCTGCCCACGCCTGCACCGCCAAAGCCACGCGGTACGTGAAGGCTGGGGAAGTGGCAGAGCTGGTGGGCGTGGCAGCTACTGTGGGGATGGGGATAGTGCTGGCCTGACCGGTTCCTGCTGGCCTGTGGGCCGATGACCACAGCAGCCCAGCCTTCCCTGGCCACTTCCCTGTTCTTCCTGTGAACGCTGGGTCCCTGTGAACTAGTCCCTCTGGGTGGGGACCGGGGACAGGGGATGGGAGGCTGAGTGATCCCTCTGGGACCCTTCCATTCTGGTGGAGACGACCCAAAATAAGGTAGATTCAGGTGTAAATCCTAGCAGCTCCAGCCTCTTGCAAGGTGACCTTGAACAAAGTCTCTGGGCCCTGCTTTCTTGCCTGCTATGCTGATCTGACCATCGGAGGAGGTATTGGGTGCAAAGCAGTTGGCACAATTCTAGGAGGCAGTGGCTCATCGATAAATGATTGTTTTATTTTATCATTATCAAGCCACCAGCCCAGATCCTGGTGCTCAGTAGGCAGCACAATTATTATTTATTAAAATATCCTCAGCACCTAGTTCAGTGTCCCCTGACCCATGGGAGGCATTCATTAATCAATAGATATTTTCATTGCATCCTCTGTTCACCATAATGCCTGGCACATAGTAGGCGATCAATGCATTACCTTTTGAAGGAAGGATTCGAGTCTTATTAGGGCTGCAGCACATGGACAAGGAGTCATGTAAAGAGTGAATTGACACGCGTCTCCCAGGAGGGTTTTGAAGGAGTTGGCCTTTCCCAGCCAGGGAAGTGGAGGGGCATAGCGCTTCCAGTGGAAGGAACTAGCAGAGTAAAGGCGCTGTCCTGCTCCCCTCGGCCCGCTTCCGGCGCCCTGAGGGGCAGTGTCTGAGAAGACTCTTCTCCCTCCCTCGCCCCCCACCAACGCAGGCGCCCCGCTCCGGCAGGCACCATGGACAGCGAGGCATTCCAGAGCGGAGGGGACATTCTGGACCTGAACTTCCAGTGTGAGCTTGGGAGGGTGGGGGGCGGTTGGGGGCGGAGTCGGGCCCTTACCTGGAGGCCCGGTCCTTACCTCTGCTTCCACCCGCCCAGCTCTGGCCATGAAGCATATGGACTTGAAGCAGATGGAGCTGGACACGGCGGCGGCCAAGGTCGACGAACTGACCAAACAGCTGGAGTCACTGTGGTCAGACTCTCCGACGCCACCTGGCTCTCAGGCTGGAGCCCCCCCTAGGGTGAGCCTGCTTGCCTGGTCCCATCGTGCTCCCCCCCCCCCCCACCAAAGTCCGCTTCTTTCTGCCTGGAGTTCAGGCAAGGCTGGCGGATAGCATTGTGCGGGTTGTGAGTGATTTAAGGACACTTTAAAAAGGGGACCAGTGGAAGTAGACCCCCAAGAGGACCCGCGGAAAGAAAATGGCCTTTTTCTAAGTGGCTCCAAAGCGCTGTATGGGTTGGCTGGCCTCCGTCCTGATTTCAGGGCTCTGCCCCCAACAGCCCTCGCTGGGGTGTCGGTGCCTGAATCTCCAGCCCCTGTCCGACCTGCCTGGGTTGATTTTCGATGACCAATTGTGACCTGCTCCCAACCCTCTATTAATGTCTCCATTGACCCCTCAATGTCCCAGCCTCAGATGCTCCGGTATAGCTCCAGCCCGGTCTCCGAGCCTTTCAGCAGCCGCGGGTCCTCCTGGAGGGCGACCAGCGACAGCACAGACACCCCGTTCGGACGCTCTGAGAGCGCCCCGACTCTGCTCCCCTACAGCTCGCTGTCCGCTAAGGGCCGGCCGTCATCACCGCGCACCCCGCTGTACCTGCAGCCAGACGCCTACGGCAGCCTGGACCACGCGCCCTCGTCCCGGCCCCGCGCCTTCGATGGCGCAGGCGGCTCCCTCGGCCGTGCGCCTTCCCCACGGCCCGGCTCGGGCCCGCTCCGCCAGCAGGGTCCCCCCACGCCCTTCGACTTCCTGGGCCGCGCCAGCTCCCCCCGTGGCAGCCCCCTGGCCGAGGGACCCCAGGTCTTCTTCCCGGAGCGCGGGCCCTCGCCTCGCCCAGTGGCCGCCTACGACGCGCCAGCTGCCTTTGGGAGCCCCCTGCTGGGCATGGGCAGCAGTGCCCTCGCCCCGCCTCTGCGCGCCCAGGGTAAACCCCCGGGGTCAAACTTGAAGCTCCGGGTTGGGGTGGGGTGGGGTGAGGGACCCGGGGCTAGCAGCCTCTCGCATTCTCATTTGCCACCTTCCCACAGATGACCTGATGCTGCGACGGCGGCCTCCCAAAGCCTGGAACGAGTCGGACCTGGACGTGGCGTACGAGAAGAAGTCTTCCCGGACAGCCAGCTACGAACGTCAGTGATGGGAGGCCGGGGAGAGTGTGGGGGGTGCCGGCGAGGTGATACCCAGACCCTAATGATCCTCCCCCGCCCCCCTGCCCGTCACAGGCTTAGACGTCTTCACGAGGCCCTCCTCCCCGAGCCTGCAGCTGCTACCTTGGAGAGAGAGCAGCCTGGATGGGCTGGGGGCCGCCGGCAAGGTGAGCAGAGGGAGAAGCTTGTGGAGGGGGCTGGTGGGCAAGGGCAGGGAGCAGGGTCAGGGCTGGCCTCCCCCTCCAGGCCGTGCCCCCCATACTCTGAGCCCTTCCTCAAGCTCTTCCTTCTTCGTCCTGGATTTCCAGCCCTTCCTTCCCTCCTCCCCTCACTCTCTCCAGCTTCCCTCACGCTGGCCTCTCCGTTCTCATCTTTTGCCCTGCCTTTCCTTAGCATTCCCCTACCTTTATCTTCCTCCCACCTGAGCCCCTTCGTCCTTCCCTCCTTCCCTCTTTCTCCCCCAGGACAACCTCACCAGCGCCACCTTGCCCCGCAATTACAAGGTCTCCCCTCTGGCCAGTGACAGGCGTTCCGATGTGGGCAGCTACCGCCGATCGCTGGGCTCCGCGGGGCCATCGGGCACTTTGCCCCGGAGCTGGCAGCCTGTCAGCCGCATCCCCATGCCCCCTTCCAACCCCCAGCCCCGCGGCGCCCCCCGCCAGCGCCCCATCCCCCTCAGCATGATATTTAAGCTGCAGAACGCCTTCTGGGAGCACGGGGCCAGCAGAACCATGTTCCCTGGCTCCTCCATCTCCAGAGCTCCTCCACCCAAAATGCCTCCCCAGCCCCAGGCACCACCCCAGCCCCAGCCTCAGCCCCAGCCCCAGCCCCAGCTCCAGCCCCAGCCCCAGCTGCCCCCGCAGCCCCAGTCACAACCACAGCCCCAGCTCCAGCCCCCTGCCCCAGTGCCCCAGATCCCCCAACAAACCTGGAGTGAAGGTGAGTCTGCACTTGGGGTTCCAGAGGGCTTGGTGAAGGGAGGGCAGATGACTGGGGACCCGACCAGCAGGGGGCGCCATCACGGCCAAGCATCTGTTTTCAGACCCCCTCCTTGCTGAGAGCTAGGCCCCACAAGCTTGGGAGTTTGCTGGGGAGCTAGGTACAGACAGCGCAGTGACTAAGCATGGACTGGAGTCAGACTGCTTGGCGCCATGCCGTGTGACCTGGGGCAAGTCACTTAACCTCTCCGGACCTCAATTTCCTTGAGTGTAAAAGATGATGATAGAACCTATCTTATTGGGGATATGGTATTAGATTATTTAATCCATATAAAGTCCTTAGAATAAGGCCTGATGTATAGTCGGCTTATCACAATCATATTCGTTATGACAATTAATATGTTCTGGTGTGAGACCAGTGCAGGGCTTGGAGGTAGCAGATTGGGTTTTGAGCCCTTCTCCACCACAGACTTGCTGTGAGACTCAGGATAAATTAGTTAACCTATCAGAGCTTTAGTTTTCTCATCTGTGAAGAGAGGTTGAGCCCTGGCTGGTGTGACTCAGGGGACTGAGTGCCGGCCTGCAAACCAAAGAGTCACCAGTTCGACTCCCAGTCAGGGCACATGCCTGGGTTGCAGGCCACGTCACCAGTAATAGGGGGGAGGGGTGTGAGAGGCAGCCACACATTGATGTTTTTCTCCCTCTCTTTCTCTCTCCCTTCTCTCTCTAAAAATAAATACATAAATACATAAATAAAATCTTTTAAAAAGAGAAAGAGGTTGACAATATCTACCACACAGACTGTGATGGGCATTTAATGTATAATAACGTATAGACAGTGATCGTTATTGTGTCTGCCTACTTTAAGAGCTGTGATGGAGAGGAATCAGGCGACAAAAGAGACCACCACAGCTGGGATCCTAGTTCCAGCAGGAGTTTTCTCTGCCTGCTGTGTTAGGAGGGAGAATTCTTAGAACCTTAGATCATCAGTCGGCCTTGATGGTGGGAGTATGGAGTCAGAGGGCGGTGACCAAATCCACACTGTATGTCATCGGGCAACTGGCTTGCTCTCTCTGAGACCTGGCTTTTCCTTCCGTAATGAGATGATAGCCATATCCCCCTTATAGCGCAGTGAGGTGAGACTTCAGTAAGACAGGTACGTAAAGCACCAGCCTCAGGCTAAGTGCTTGGTAAATGGGACTTGTCATCATTGCATATTAGTCACAGCCCAGGGAAAGTGTAGCTCAGAGAGAGCAAGGAACTGCCCTGAGGTCACACAGCAAATCAAGTGCTGCTGGCAAGTTGTGGAAGTTGTAGGGAGGGAGTCTTGGGGGAGGGGGTCTCCTGAGAACCCTTCCTCTGATTTGGCTCTTGTTCCCTCTAGGCACCCCCAAAGCCCCTGCTGAGCTGGAGCCTGAACCAGAGCTGGAGGGGCTGCTGGCGCCAGTGCTGGAGGCTGGCGATGTAGATGAAGGCACTGTGACTCGGCCCCTCAGCCCCACGCGACTGCAGCCAGCACTGCCACCCGAGGCGCAGTCGGTGCCGGAGCTGGAGGAGGTGGCACGGGTGCTGGCGGAGATTCCGCGGCCCCTCAAACGCAGGGGCTCTATGGAGCAGAGCCCTGCCGTAGCCCTCCCCCCCACCCACAAGAAGCAGTACCAGCAGATCATCAGCCGCCTCTTCCATCGGCATGGCGGGCCTGGGGGGCCTGAGCCCGATCTGTCCTCCATCTCTGAGGGATCCGAGGCCAGGTCAGGGCCCCCCGCCCCTGCCCCACCGGCTCCCATGCCGCCCCCGGCCCCGCCCCAGAGCAGCCCCCCAGAGCAACTGCAGAGCATGGTGAGTAATACAGGAGGAAAGTGGGGAATATTAGCACAGGGGAGGTGCCCCTTCCTTTTTAGGACAGAACCTGGAAATTGCACACACCACATTTGCCACACCCTATTGGCTAGGAACCCAGCCCCTGGGGAGGCTGGGAAATGTAGTCTTTAATCTACTGTGCCCATGTTCAAAAGAAAGGTGGAACACATATGGAGGGCATCTGAAGGTCTTGGCCACCCAGACCTTTCCCTGCTCTTCTCCAATATCCCTGCACAGCCGCCAGGTCATCCTTTCGGGAATCATGAAGTCTTTTATTTTTATCAATTTGAGAGAGAGAGAGAGAGAGAGAGAGAGAGAGAGAGAGAGAGAGAGAGATCAATTTGTTGTTCCACTTATTTATGTATTCCTTGGTTGATTCTCATATGTGCCCTGACCGGGGATTGAACCTGCAACGGTGGTGTATCAGGACAACGCTCTAACCAACTGAGCTACCTGGCTAGGAACTGTGGAGTCTTACACCCTGGAAATAGGTGCATCTTGGCAGGCAGAGGGTTCATCCTGGGACCTGAAAAGCCTGTCTGAATCAAAGCAGTCACCATTTCACTCCCTGGTCGCCACACAGGCTCTTGTGCCTGCCTTCTTTGGAAATCTCCTCTCTCCTTTTATGCCTCCACAAACAAGCCCATGCCATGGCTAGAAATGGCCCAGCCAGCTCGGACTCAAAATGACCTCTTAGCTCAAGCCCATAGGGTCCTCTGAGTCTACTCGGAACGGCTTCTGTTCCAGTTTCCTAGAGCAAGTCTCTGGCTGCTGAGACTGTGGGTGTTGGGTTTAAGTGTCCAGCTAAGTTGCCTGGGTTCAGATCCTAGCTCCACAGCGCTAACCAGCTGTGCAACCTTGGGCAAGACACTTAGCCTCTCTGGGCTTCGATTTTCTCATCTGTAAAATGGGGATGAGAACCACCATAAGGCTGCTGTGAGGGTTACATATGTTAGCATACTGCGTAGAACAGTGCCTAGCACTTAACTGTTAATTGCTATTAATGCTGTTAACATTTGGCCAGAGGAGGAGCTCCTGCTGGATCTCATCCAGTCCCTGCATCTTGGCTGGGGGCGGGGGCGGGGGTGTAGTCACGTGGCACAGTCCTGATTGCTCAGTGTGGGGAGATGGAGGAAGGGGAACAATTCCCACCGAAGAAGTGGGGGCACCCCAAAATGCCTACTCCTGAGGGTGAAATAAAAACTGTTGAGGTTTAGGATCTTGAAATCAAGAATGGAAGAATGACTTTGTCTTGAAATGGTCCAGTTGCCTCAACGTAGAATCACAAAATCCTGGCCACGAAGAAACTTGCAAACCCACAGAATTTGAGAATTCAGCCCTGGCTTCACAGTCTCTGAACAGTTCCGGAAGCCGAGAGCCCTGGAGGTTTGAAGGTTAAGGCCTTAGAATTAAAAAGTAATATAGGGCCTGGTTATTACTGGTGCTTAAAGTCACCAAAACTGAAAATGAAAGACTCATCATTTGAGTCATGAAGATACAGATTGGTGCACTAATATGTTGTTACACAGGTTTACATTTTAAATGGTTACTTCCACTAGAAAGGAGTAGCCAAACACCATAGAAACTTGGAAGAAATAGATAAGACTAGAATGAAGAGGTCAAAATCACAGCGCTCAGAGAGAGAACCATGACTTAACATTTTGAGTATTTCCTTCCACTCCTTTGGAAGGAAATCCTAACTATATAATGGTCAAGTTCTCAATCAGAGAATCTTGGGAATGCCATGTCCCAGGTCCTCAGCAGTGCAAATGGCACAGCTTAGCGTGTCTGGACTCCCAGCATTTTGGGAACTTGAAATAACTAACTGAGCATCAGGCTTTTGGAATCGGTGGCTTTTGGGATCTCCGAATTCCAGAACCTGGAACTTAATCGACATCAAAGACCAGAATCCCAAATGCTTCATGCTCAGAATAAATGAATCTCTTGAAAACTAAAAACAAGAAAGCACAAGGAGTATATGGTAAATGCACCATTCCAAACATCTGGAATTAGCTTTTGGTGATATTTTGTTACGTGTGTTTCCTAGCATTTATTTATTTTTTATTAAAAAAAAATGGGACTGTGTGTGGATCGAATATCTGGCTTCTACAATCATCCACTCAATTAACTCCCAGCTTCCTCCCAGTTCTCAAAGCCCAAGATTTCCAAATCACTGGATTCCCTGGCTTGTAGGGGACCAGGCAACGCAGAACTGAGTGAGCCACCTGCCCCGCCACAGCCTCTCCCCCCCCCACCCCCCGCAAGCCACTGAGGTCCTCCACCCTGCCCCCCAGGAGATGCGCTCGGTGCTAAGGAAAGCCGGATCCCCTCGCAAGGGCCGTCGCGCTCGTCTCAACCCGCTGGTGCTTCTTCTGGACGCTGCGCTGACCGGGGAGCTGGACGTGGTGCAGCAGGCGGTGAAGGAGGTGAGCGCTGCGGGAGGGAGAGCCAGGCTGGCGCGGCAGGGGACGCGGGCGCGCAGGCGAACGGGAGGGCGGCGGGTTTCTGAGCCTCTTGGTCTTCTGGCCCGCCCAGATGAACGACCCAAGCCAGCCCAACGAGGAGGGCATCACGGCCCTGCACAATGCCATCTGTGGCGCCAACTACCCCATCGTGGACTTCCTCATTGCGGCCGGAGCCAACGTCAACTCCCCCGACAGCCATGGCTGGTGAGCCAGGACTTACGCGGAGCGGGGCGGGCGTAGGGCGGGATGGCGCTGAGGGCCTGTATCTCCTCGGGCAGCCGCGCTGCTGCTCACGCCTGCCTCCCACGCCTAGGACACCGTTGCACTGCGCAGCTTCGTGCAACGACACGGCCATCTGCACGGCCCTGGTGCAGCACGGCGCAGCCATCTTCGCCACCACACTCAGTGACGGTGCCACTGCCATCGAGAAGTGCGACCCCTACCGCGAGGGTTACAACGACTGCTTCACTTACCTGGCAGGTGTGAGGCAGCGGGGCTGGTGGGCTGGGCCACCTCTGGGGGAGGAGTCGTGGGCTCTTGGGCGCCCATCTAGCAGATGTTGGGAGTAGGGGAGTGGGCCAACTGCCGTTCATGTTCACCAGAGAGAGGACTTGGGGGCTGTCCCAACCATGTGCACAGGTAGCTTAAGAAGGGGTGGCAGGATGGACCACTTGTGTAAGTAGGGGTGGAGAGCAGAATGTTCTACCTCGGAGGAAGAGGGGGCTGGGGGGCCTTGCCACACAAGCTGGACCCCTGCAGGGAGGAAAGTGGTGGTGGAGATTGCAGAGTTCATCTGCTTTCTCACCTGGGAGTTGGGGAGTTGGGTGTTCCACCTACACCACCTACCTGGCATAGATGGGGCAGGTGGGCTCTGCCCCCTGGGGGAGATACAGCAGCACACAGCTGGCAGGTGAGCAGGCCATGGCTTCTGTGGAGGGGCTTGGGGACTCTTCCACTGGTAGGGAGACATGAGCTGTACCCTACACCTCCAGGAGGGGGGCACATCACCTAACCAGGTGATGGAAGGGAGTAGGTAGGCTGTACCTACCCAAGCTCTGCAGTGCACACTTGGAGGGGCATGGCATTTCAGAGAGGAGCCTAGAGGGGATACATGAAGGAATGGCGGTCGGCTGTGGCGCCTGTCGCAACAGGGGGTGAGAACATGGGGCTGTATCATCTTCCTCGCAGGTGATGGGGCGGGCTGGGATTTGACCACCTGTGGGGAAGTAGACTGATCACTGAAGAGAGGAAGGGCTGTGACCTTTGAGTAGGGGATTGGGCCATTACACCTTTGTCACAGGTAGTGTACATCCTACCTGTCACTGACACGAAGAGTTCTGTGAGGTAAAGATTGGACAGCACAGCTGGAGGGAGGGCGGGCAGAAATTGGAACTCGGGCGCTGAACCAGTGAAGAGGAAGATCATGGTGGACTGTGGAGGGAGGGTGTGGGTGGGCTGTACCATCTGGAAAGTCATTGCAGCCTTTTTGGGGACTCCATCATTTGGAGAGGGGGAGCAGTGTGGACTGAACCTCCTGGAAAGGGGGCGATGGGGCCTCCTCCTGGGGGAGCTGGAGTAGGGCTGTACCACCTGAATAAGAGGCTGTCCTCTGTGGAGATTGTACCACTAAACTGAGGGTGATGCAGACAACTGTCCCTGGAAGTGACACAGGGACCTGATGTACAAGAGGGAATGGGACCACTGACCCTGCCTCGGGGGTTGGCCCAGCTTGATGGACCCCAGTGTTCTCGAATTTGGAGACTGCCAGTCCCGGCAGCTGATTCCAGCTCAGGCCCCCCCGTGCAGACAGGGGTACTCGACTGTTCCGGTGGTTCATCCCCCAGCGGGGTGGGTACCCGACCCCAGGGCCTGCCCCTGTCCCCAGCGTGCCTCGTGTCCCTCACCACCCCTGCCGTTTTGGGTTCCAGACGTGGAGCAGAGCATGGGGCTGATGCACAACGGGGTGGTGTACGCGCTCTGGGACTACAGCGCCGAGTTCGGGGACGAGCTGTCCTTCCGCGAGGGCGAGTCGGTCACCGTGCTGCGGCGGGACGGGCCGGAGGAGACGGACTGGTGGTGGGCCGCGCTGTATGGCCAAGAGGGCTACGTGCCAAGGAACTACTTCGGGGTGAGTCCAGAAGCGCTATTGTGGGGCCCCCTGCTGGCTGCTTGAGGAAAGAGGCATTCCCACAGGAAAAAAAGGGGGGCGAGAGGGTGGGCGGGGTCAGAAGAGTCTATATCCTCCTGGGGGGGCGTTGGGGGAAAAGACCATTATAATAATGGGAGAGTAAAGCGAGAGCCCCTTACTTGTGGCCCTTCACCAATACTGTCTTACTGGTTATTTGAATGGTTCATGCTCAAATATTCTTACTATGCCCCCTAATTATATTAATGGGAGGTAAAGAATGTATTTAGGCCAAGGGGAATGTATTTTAGTGGTGGGGGAAAAATTAAAGGGTTGTGTATTACGGGTGAGGAAACTTTTATTCCACTGAACTGGGCAGGGTGAGCAAGAACCCATTAATAAAATTATGGTAGAATTGAGGGAGATTCTACTAGGTTAGTGGAGGAGGTCAGGATGATCCCAGTATCTAGGAAAGAAGAAGATTCTTTTGGTTTGGGGGATCGGTGGAGGTGGGTCCCCACCGGACGGCCACGTGGTAGGAAGAGGCAGTGTGGGAACGTTCCATCTCATCAACCAGGCTGCTCATTGGAAGGCTCCATGCGGTGCCTGACGGTGACAGGGGGCTCTGGGGGCTCCAGAGCAGTGTGGGAGATGCTGAGGAAGAAATGGGATGATGGAGACTGCCTCGTGTTTGGGGTGGATGGGTGACTCCATTCAGCTTGGGGGTGGGAGCTCCTGGTGTCTGAAACTCTTGTCTTCCCTCAGCTCTTCCCCAGGGTGAAGGCCCAGAGGAATAAGGTCTAGCCGGAGAGAAGAATGTTTTCTGGGGAGCCGGGAGGAAGCAGCTTGGCCTTCGCTCCGGACCTCCGGCTCCATTACTGCTGCGCCTCCCTGCGCCACTAACCCTTCAGGGGCGGGATTCTTGCCCCCAGCTCTCTGCTTCCCTGGAAGCCCAGGGGAGAAGGAGAACCTTAGCCTTAAGTGTAGAAATCTGCCTTAGCTGTGGGAGGTCGCTGTGAGGCTGGGAATCACTGGGGGCAAGAGAGACTCCCCCTACATTTGCCAACTCAGGCCCCCTCTACTGGACAAACCAGATACCATCCAAAGTGCCCCCCAACTCCCACTGCAGACACCTCCCCACACTCCTCAAAGCAAGTCAACCCACCATCCCAGTAGGACAGGCCACCTCCACTGGCTTTACCTGGGAGTCACCTCTGCCCCCATTTCTCCCAGCAGCCTTTGTGGGGACCAGGTGAGGCACATGGGTGTCTCTACGAGGATCCCTGCTCCCGCTCTCCCCAACCACGTGCCTTCATACAGTGCCGGTTTGACAACAAAGTGGGGAAGTTTTTCTTAATAAATAAAGGTAGTTTGCTGAATTCCATTCTGACTTGATAAATGATCTCCACTGTTCCTATTCTTGGCAAAGCAGCCTTCATGTCACCTCTTCGTGTAAATCCAATCCTTCCTCTTTGATATTATAGTATGTCTAATAGTTCAGTTGTCTGACATGAGGGACCATCACTTCTGTAATTTTTGCATCTGCTGGCTATGATCATGGTGGATTTCTTCCTCCTGCATGTTGACATTATGAGTTGTGAGATCCTCTCTTGTCAGGCCTCCAGCTTCCAGGAATCCATGTGGCCTTGCTGAGAGCATGGCCCTGAAGTGTGGTTTCCCTTTGCTTCTACCCCACTTCTTTCTTTCTTTTTAAAAAAGATTTTATTTATTTTTAGAGAGAGGAAGGGAAAAAGAAAGAGAGGGAGAGAAACATCAATATGTGGTTGTCTCTCATACGCCCTCTACTGGGGACCTGTCCCACAACCCAGGCATGTGCCCTGACTGGGAATAGAACCTGTGACCCCTTAGTTCACAGGCCAACACTCAATCCACTGAGCCACACCAGCCACAGACCACTTCTTTATTTCTTAAACTGCTCCTTAAAGATTTTTGACAATGCGTTCCGGCAAGATGGAGGAATAGGTGGACGCCCCGTACCTCCTTGCACAACCAAGATTAGAACAACGATTTACAGATAGAATAACACTCAGAACTGATAGAGGATTTATCTGAATGGAAGTCGGACAGCCAAGAAGTTGAAGTAGACCCGTACATCCAGACTGGTAGGAGATGACAAGCCGGGAGGGCGCGGAGCTGGCGCGGGTCGGCGGCGCGCAGAGGTCGGGAAAAATTTGGCGCAAATTTGGCGCGACAGCCATCCGGGGCGCAAGAACGCAGCGGTGATCCCTGAGTACGCAAGCTGAGGCTGGCGGACCCAGTGAGGCAGCGATTGTGGACCAGGGCAGAGCTCGCAGCCCAGGATCCCAGAGAAGAGTCTGAGCCCAGGAGAACGGAACTACCGCCATTGTTCCCTCCCGTCCCTGCTCCTGCCTCTGCCCCCACATATAACGTCACAATATAGCGACTGGGGTGCCCAGCCCCAGTGAACACCTAAGGCTCCGCCCCCCCACTGTAACAAGAACGACCAGACCAGAAAAAAAAAAAGGAGAGACAGGAAAAGACATAAGACATGTTTCCAACAGAACAGATCAGTCCCCCAGGACTCATCCTTTTGAGTGACTAAGAAATAGCCAATCTATCAGGTGCGCAGTTCAAAACACTGGTGATCAGAAAGCTCAAGGAATTGGTTGATTTTGGGTGCAATTTAGATGGAAGGATGCAGGTTACCATAAAAGAGATGCAGGAAGATACACGGAGGAGAGCCAATAGTGAAAGGAAGGAATCTGAGTCTCAAAACAATACAGTGGACCAGAAGGAAGATAGAATCAATCAAGCAGGAAAGCATGATGAAATAAGAATTCAAAAAATCGAGGAAAAGCTTAAGAGCATCCAGGACACCTTTAAACGTTCCAACATACGAATTATGGGGTACCAGAATGGGAAGGGGAAAAGCAACAAATTGAACACATATTTGAACAAATAATAAAGGAGAACTTCCCCAATCTGGCAAAGGGAACAGTCTTCCAAGAAATCCAGGAAGCTCAGAGAGCCCCAAAGAAGTTGGACCCAAGAAGAAACACACCAAGGCACATCATAATTACATTAGCCAAGGTAAAAACGAAGGAGAGTATCCTAGAAGCAGCAAGAGATAAGGGGACAGTCACCTACAAAGGAGTTCCCATCAGACTGTCAGCTGATTTCTCCAAAGAGACCTTACAGGCAAGAAGGGGCTAGAAAGAAATATTCCAAGTCATGAAAGACAAGGACCTACATCCCAGATTGCTCTATCCAGCAAAGCTCTCATTTAGAATGGAAGGGCAGATAAAGTGCTTCTCAGACAAGGTCAAGTTAAAGGAGTTCATCATCACCAAGCCCTTATTTTATGAAATGCTAAAGGGACTTATCTAAGAAAAGAAGATAAAGAAAAGACATGTATAGTAAAAGGACAGCAAACTCACAATTATTAACAACCACACCTAAAGCAAAACCAAAAGAAACTAAGTAAACAACTAGAACAGGAACAGAACCACAGAAATGGAGGTCACATGGAGGGCTAGCAACAGGGAGGTGGGAGGAGGAGAGAGGGGGAAAAGGTATAGAGAATAAGTAGCATAGAATGTAGGTTGAAAATAGATAGGGGGAGGGCAAGAATAGTACGGGAAATGTAGAAGCTAAAGAACTCCTAAGTATGATACATGGACATGAACTAAAGGGGGGGGGGAAATGTGGGTGGGAGAGGGGGTACAGGGTGGAGGGGAGAGAAGGGGGAAAATGGGACAACTGTAATAGCATAATCAATAAAATATATTTAAAAAAAGATTTTTGACAATGCATGAGCATCTATCTCTTCTGTATAGTCTCTGACAAATCATAAAGCTACATCACTGTCATTGTCGTTGCTGTCCAATACAATACATGTAATTTGGTGGTACAATACCACCAAATACATGTAACTATTTAAATTTACATTCATTAACCCTGGCCGGAGTGGCTCAGTTTCCTAGACATCGTCCCACAAAGTGAAAGGTCACTGGTTCAATTACCGGTCAGAGCATATGCCTAGGTTGTGGGTTCAGTCCCCCCCAGGGGGGGTGCGTATGAGAGGCAACCGATCAGTGTTTTCCTCTCACACTGTTTTTTCCCTCTCCTTCTCACTCCCTACCTCCCTAAGAATAAATAAATAAATAAACTTACATTAATGAAAATTAACCAAACATTTTAAGGGTTCAGTTCCACAGTCACACTAGCCACTACTGACTCTAGGGAAGGAGCCCTGTCCGTGCCTTTTCCAGCTTCTGGGAGCTGCCTGCGTTCCTGGGCTCGCAGCCCCTTCTCTCTTCAAAGCCAGAACTGGCGTCTCTCCCGTCTCTTTCATGGTCCCGTGTCCTTCTCTGACTTTCCTGCCTCCCTCTTTCATCTGTGAGGATCCTTGTGATTACACTGGACCCTCCCGAGTCATTCAGGACGATCTCCTCATCTCAAGACCCTTAATTGAATCGCATTTGCAAAGTCCTTTCTGCCATGTGAACCAGCAAAGGAGACCGAGGGAATAAGGAGACAAGTCACTGCCCTCAAGTTCAAACACTGCCTGGACCTCTGGTGATATTAAGCAATTTTTAGTACTATTTTTGAGGTGTGCTAATGATATTGTGCTTATGTTGTTACAAAGAGTCTTTAAGATAGGGGTGTCAAACTTATTTTCACTGGGGGCCACATCAGGGGCCACACCAGCCTTGCGGTTGCCTTCAAAAGGTCGAATGTAACTTTAGGACTGTATAAATGTAACTACTCCTTAGCAGTTAATCAAGAGCTTGGCACTGCCACCGGGTAGAAACAAGGTGCCTGGCCGGATAAAACAAGGTGGAGGGCCGGATTCTGCCCATGGGCCTTATGTTTGCCACCTGTGCTTTAAGATACACTTTCTCAAATATGGATGGAATGACATGATGTCCAGAATTTGCCTTAAAATAATTGACTAGCGGGCCCTGGCCAGGTGACTCAGTTGGTTGGAGTGTCTTCCATACACCAAAAAAGTCGTGAGTTCAATTCCCCGTCAGGGCACATACCCAGGTTGTGGGTTCGATCCCCGATCGGGGCATGTTTGAGAAGCAACAGTAGGTGTCTCTCTCACATTGATGTTTCTCTCTCTCTCAAATCAATAAAAACATATCCTCAGGTGATGCTTTAAAAATAATAATAATTGACTGGTGGGAGGAAAAGCGTCTTGGCTGTAGACGAAGTTCAGTCCTGACTTAAAAACCAATGAAGTTCAGTGTGTGTGGAGCCTCATTACGTTATGCTCTCGACTTTGGTGTCTGTTTGAAATTGTCCTTAATAAGCAGAAATGGGTAAATTGGCTTTTCTGTTTTCAGGGTAAACACATGGAATTTTTAAAAAGCATAAGGAATGTGGTATGAGGTGATTCTTTTCCTAGTACAGACCTGCCCAAGGAAGAGGACAAACCACTAGGGTCTGGGCAGTGGGTGTTGCTGTGTGCATGGAGAGGGGAAGGGATCGGAGAAACCTGCTCAGAGGGACACTTGTGTTTGTGATGTTTCATTTTTCTAACCATTGAGATGGGAACTGTGAACTGAGTGTCCTGTTTATCTTAAAATCTTCTGAAAATGGCCCTGGCTGGCATAGCTCAGTGGATTGAGTGCAGGCCTGCAAATCAAAAGGTCGCTGGTTCGATTCCAGTCAGGGCACATGCCAGGGTTGCAGGCCAGGTCCCCGGTGGTGGGGCTCATGAAAGGCAATCACGCACTGATGTTTCTCTTCCTCTCTCTCCCTCCCTTCATCTCTCCCTAAAATAAACAAAATCTTCTTTAAAAAAAATCTTCTAAAAATGTTCAAATTCTATAGGAGGACAAATTAATGGAAAAGCATCTCCCATGTGTCCATCTTACATTAAAAAATCACAAATTCAAACAATTTGGCTTCTATTCACATGGAGTGAACCTGCAGCGGGTTCCTGAGAACTCCTTCTTTTCTCTGCACCGCTTAACCACGGGGGCACACTCTGGGAAACGTGACGTTAGGCGATTCCCTGGTTGTGCAAACGTCACAGAGGACGAACCTAGAGGATCTAGCCTACCATGTACCCAGGCCGTATGGTGCAGCCTGTGGCAGCCTGCACAGCATGTTACTGTATGATGCAACACAAGGTTAAATCAAGCACAAACGAAAATGATGCAGTAAAGAGACCAGGTAAACGTTTACAAGATGTATGAGGCTGCTGTCTGCGTAACATGGAACAGCTGTACAGCACACATTTTTTATCATGGGAAAGAGTACACTCTAAAATAATAAAAAGTAGCCCTGGCTGGTGTGGCTCTGTGGATTGAGTGCCGGCTTGCAAACCAAAGTGTCACTGGTTCAATTCCCAGTCAGGGCACATACCTGAGTTCCGGGCCAGGGCCCCAG